TTATTCTGCTAAATTTCATCGCGATATTTGTGTTTATAATATATATATATTTTGTGAATATATTTATATTTACATAATATTTTATTCTGCTAAATTTCATCGCGATATTTGTGTTTATAAGTAAATTTGGGACATTCAAGTAATTTTCTGAAGGGGACTTTGTATGGGAGCTAGGGTCAAATGGGGCCCGATCTTTATGAAATTTGGCAGGGTCATCAAGACTTCTATAAAACTTAGTTGTGCCGTATTTTATCGATATATCTGTATATTTAACATAATTATGAGCTCAAAAGCCCTTTTCGGGGGGTTCTGTTCTATGGGGGCTAGGTGAAATAATGGACCGATTTTAACCATTTTCAATAGGCTTCGTCCTTGGGTCAAATAAAACGTGCGTGCCAAATTTCATCCAATTATCTTGAAAATTGCGACCTGTACGTATACTTTAAGGTGGGTCTAGGGCGAATATTTTTGTATGTTACAAACATCAGCACAAATCAAATATACCCTCCCCACTAAAGTGGTGTAGGGTATAAAAAGTAAAATTATTTGTTTCATAAAAATAATAACAATAATAACAAATAACTTGTATTACACAAAACGTGATTTATAAAATTTTGTTTATTTTTTTTTTGCTGATAAATAATTTAGAAAATTTCACTAAATAATTTGAAATTGTTTGGTTTATTCGGGGAAGTTGAGAGTTCAAAGCCCAGTATTTTGTAGAACAACTTTTAATTAGTGTTTCTTGTTGCTGAGAAATTGTTTTTCAATTCTAATAAAATTATAATCAAAACTTTTACATTTTCTGGGCTTCTTCAGGGTAGATGGCCCGAAATAGCAAGATCGCTCTACAGTTTATAAACATTATGACCTGTACGATCTATATTTCTATGTGTTAGGGAATGACACTGTATATCTCTAAAGTTAATAATAGAAATTATTATTGTTGTGATTTTAATTCCTGGAATTTCCAAAACAAATATTGTGGGGAAACTTTCTTAGAAAACAAACCCTACTGGTTATATATAATTATGACCAAATTGAACTGGTTTTGACTTTGGTATTTTTGTTTTTGTTTTATATAATTGAATAAATTTTAAAATTAATTACGGTTTTTTTTTGCGGGTAACAATATATCTCCTCTTAACTCTAAAACACTTAATAAATAAGGTTTAGTATCATTCTCTTCCCTCTAGAGATATGTTTGCAGAACATTTCAAAAATTTCAAATATGTGTTATCGGTTTCCTTGTAGGTTCAATATTAGTCATTCTTTTAAATATTTAGGATATTTATAATAAACAAGTAAGAAGTACATATTCGGCTGTGCCGAATATTATATACCCAACATTAAAGTGTATATCATAAAATTGTTCATTTCAGAAAGTCTTTGTTGACTTAATCGGCCTGAAGACGTACTGATAGGGTGGGATCTGATCAGTGAGCTTGATAATAACTTGTATGCGATGCACAGGATACTTATTCCAGGCTAATTGGCTGAAATCATATTGTCTCCGGGACATGTTACCTTGATGAACCTATCATAATCTTGGTGTAATTCTCTCGAGGGATATAGAGATGCTATCAATACCTTTAGGATGCTTTTGACATTATCAACTGGTGCCAAAAGCATACTCGGTCTTTCCTTAAAATGATTTTACCATGGAACCATATAATCTGGTACACAAGTACTTCGGGGTAGTACCAGATTATATAGTACAATGTGCGTAGGACTTGTCCTGGCTGATCAATGTTTGAAATTCCTTTAGGATCTACGTAGTGGCTGTGGTTTAAATCTAAAATCGCAGGGGGAGAATGTTGCTTTAAGGACTGATATATACATAAGCTGTATATATCTGGAGTCTCTCTCCCGTGATGTTGCCATCTCAACATATGTTACTGGGTAATGGGCCAATGTAACTATGTGCACCCTAAAATCAGTGTGGAATTTTCAGGCTTATGATCTGAGAATGGAACCTACCCCTCTGCCTACCGGGAGACTAGACTCAATGAATGGCTTTTTAATCCGGGGAAGTTCTCAGTGCTATTGCCATCTCAACAGGATACATAGCGACATGCTACACGACTTATGGTTAAGGTTAACCTCTTCCTGTCGGGGCAATTATTGGGTTCGTTTCACTTTGGAAATTCCTACCGAATTAAGAGAGACCTGTGATGTGGTTGCGCGGGCTTTAAAAAGTTGAGGAATGTGCTCGAGTCGATCATTGGGGGATGCGTGTATTTCTGTTGGTCTATCTCGGATGTAATGTCGACGATTAGAGATAAAGCAGGTGCATTGTTGGGGTTTGTGAGAACCCCTCATTATTGACCTCCTCCTCCTTAAAGTCACACGGAGTGGTAAAACATTTTAAGTCCACCCAGTGGATGAAAAAGACCACTCACGTAAAGCACATTGACATACATGTCTCGTATGTAATGAATCGAACGCTAAGACTCCAACCTAGGGCATGTGTTCCTTTTCCTAGATAATGCGAATTAGATGATGCATACACAGTTCGTCTCCTACGGGTTTTTTTACTCTGTATCTGTCTGTGGGTATTCCGTGAGATTCTTTAAGCCGAGATATCCTCTTGCTGAGTAGAGGATCTACAATTAACACCATCGTCTATGATTGGTTGTATCGGCGTTGGTAGAATTTTCTGTCATTGTTTCTATTGCTATCCATACATTCTGGGCATTCTTGGATAGGCAACGTCCTTCCTTAGTATCCAATATCGCTCTAACACTAGCGTCAGTGTTGCCTTGTATGTAATGTTCTTAGCTTCTGAGGTAACTCTATACTACTTATCGTACTATATCATATCGATATATTAATAGAGACTTTATTGGGGACTTGGGTCAATTACTTTTCTGAGGCCTGGGCACATCAGGTTTTCAGACGGACGGGCATGGTTAGGGTCTGATTCATAAACATTTATTAATGGTTTATTAAACAAATTTTCATACAAAATCTATTCTATAAACCTTTGTATTTAAAATTTCTATAATACAATTTTCCGACCCTATAAAGTATATATGTATATTGTGAGTCCTAATAGATAGCGGAGTCGATTAAGCAATTTCCGTCTATCTGTCTCTCTATCCGTCTTTCTGTCTGTATGCTTGTTGAAATTTATTTTCTGACCTTCGGGACCTAAATCTTCAAAAAAAAATTCTGTCAAGCATGGTTTCCTATCAGCAAAATCGGTTCATAAATAAAGAAGAGACACATTACACATCATGAAGCTTGAGCATGTATGTATCTATAAAATGGGACTTTTTGGTACTTCCTCGTTATTTAAAATGTACTTTTTGAATTTTCCCGGAGCCCGGAGTAAATGAGATCCTATAAAAGGGGACTTCTTTGGTACTTCTTCGTTCTTTAAAAGGTACTTTTTGAATATTCTATAATATTGAATCTAGAAACATAAAATTAAGCATGTGAGAACCTTTAAAAAGGTCTTTTTGGTACTTTTCGTTCTTCAAAAGGTACTTTTTCAATTTTCTATAATATTGAACCTAGAAACATGATATTAATGAAAATCTGTAGGAAAGGATTTTTGGTACTTTTTCGTTCTATAACTGGTACTTTTTGGCTTTTATGCAGCACCCTGAATGAATGAAAATCTATAAAAGGGGACTTTCTGGTACTTTTTCGTACTGACTGTGTTTTTGTTTAACACATCATGGTGAAGGGTATATAAGATGCGGCACAGTCGAATATAGAACTACTAATGGAAAATTTGACAGTTGTATGGCTCCCTTCAGTTTTTGAAATGATTAAAAAAACAAGCAAGACGCATTAGATCAGGAATGTATTTCTATGTAAACACATACAAAAAAGTGAAACAGCTGTTTTCATCTTACTTTGTTATTGTTTTATACTAATCGTGTAAACACAAAAAATCAGGGTGTACTTAATGCAAGGTGACATCACTAGCCCAGCTGATCATTGTTTACAATTTTTTATACATATACTTGTATATAGGCTTAAACCGCACGTTTGTCAAATTCCATATAAAACAAGTAAGAAAGTATAGTCGGGCGTGGCCGACCATATGATACCCTACACCTTTGACAAAAATATAATGTGATTTATTTGCCATAATAAAGCATTTAAATTGAATTGTACCTTGCCTCAGATATACATACTTAAGCCGTTTATCGTTGAATAAAATTGTGGACATTTAAGTGAAATTTTGATGGGGGCTTTTCATAGGGGCTAGGGTCATATGAGGACCTATTATTATGGAATTCGTGAGGGGTCATCAAATCTTGGATAGAACTTGGTTTTTTTGCAGCTTTTTGTCGAGATATGAGTATATTAAACATAATTATGAACTTAAAAGCCCTATTCGCGGGTTTCAGTTGTATGGGGGCTAGGTGAAATATGGACCGATGTAAACCATTTTCACAGGCTTCGTTTTACGGTACCATAAAGATCATGTGCCAAATTTCATTGAATTATCTCCAAAATTGCGACCTGTAGTTTGATTACAAAGTTTTTAAAAGCCCTATTCGGGGAGTCAGTCGTATGGGGGCTAGGTGAAATAATGGACCGATGTAACCATTTTTCAATAGACTTTGTCTACGGTTACCATAAAGATCATGTGCCAAATTTCATTGAATTATCTCCAAATTGCGACCTGTAGTTTGATTACAAAGTTTAAAAGCCCTATTCGGGGGGTTCAGTCGTATGGACGCTAGGTGAAATAATGGACCGATGTTAACCATTTTCAATAGACTTTGTCTACTGTACATAAAAGATCATGTCCCAAATTTCATTGAATTATCTCCAAATTTTGCGACCTGTAGTTTGATTACAAAGTTTTAAAAGCCATATTCGGGGTTTCTGTTGTATGGGGGCTAGGTGAAATAATGGACCGATTATTAACCATTTTCAATATGCTTCATCTACGGTACCATAAAAGATCATGTGCCAAATTTCATTGAATTATTTCCAAAATTGCGACTTGTAGTTTGATTATAAGGGTTTACAAGCCCTATTGGGGGGTTCAGTTGTATGGGGGCTAGGCGAAATAATGGAACGATCTTAACCATTTTCAATAGGTTTCGTCCCTGGGACAATAGAAGATCATGTACCAAATTTCATTGAATGTCTTCAAAATTGCGACCTATAGTTTTGATTACAAGGTTTACATGGACGGACGGACAGACGGACGGACATAGCTAAATCGACTCAGAAAATGATTCTGAGCCGATTGGTATACTTTAAGGTGGGTATAGGACCTATATTATTGTGCGTTACAAACATCAGCACAAACCCAATATACCCTCCCCACTGTAGTGGTGTAGGGTATAAAAATTTGACAATCATGCGGTTGCTCTCAAGTGCTGGTACCTTGTTAAGTAAACCGTGCAAAAAAATATATAACTCATAAAAGTAGAGATTTCGAGTGTATTTGTAAACTAATATATAGTTGCGCTATTATTTACACCGTTACTGTATGTAATTGTTTATCTGTAGGTCAAGAGCATCACCGTTTGATAATGAATTTAACGTAAAAATTGTTAAATAACTTTTACTTGTTTGGGTACAAAAAAAAACGTGCAAAATGTTAAATGCTGGAAGTAATTACATTAGGCATATTATTAAATCGTTTAAAACTTTTGCTCTTCAATTTTGCCAAAGTAATGTTCACATTGTTCAAATATTTAACTAAATAAATACGTTTTTTTGAGATCTAGCTAGGATCAACAATATAATTATTTAAATTAAAACAAGTTTTATTAATTTTACTCTTTTCTAGTTCTCATGTTTGTTTCGTTTATTATTTGCATAATGTTTTTTAATTATTCGGCTTCTAGGATCGTTAATTTTGTACGTGATCATGTTAAAATGTTTGATTACCTTGACAACCTTGTTTTGCCAACAATATTTTCCATTAAAAAGTCCGGACAACAGGCCAGATAATGGCCTAAATGTATTTCTTCGGATTTCAGTTTACATCTTCCTAACAACCTAACCTACGGACAATTTTATTCCGAAAAGGGCTTTTAACTATATCAATAAGATTCCCCAAATATTTAACATTGATTCTAATTTGGTACTATAAACCTCTTTGGCGATCGGCTGAAAAATAACCTTAGCTCCTATATAATGTTTTCATTCAAGATTTTCTTTGTTAGACTTTAATTTCTTACTTATTTATAAATGTAAACAATATACAAAATTCTTGGACTTAAAAAATTAATAAACAACTAAAATTTAGAAAAAATTATATTTAATTGTTTAATATAAAATTTCACCTTTATACTCTAGACTTGACAAAACTAAACGGAGGTGAGCATCGGGTTCACAAGTACAATGTGTTTGAGTTTTATTTTAATTATAAAAGAGGCTGTATTAATAGGAATTTAAATTACGAAGTCTTTCTATGTATATTCTACTCGTAAATCTGATAAAGTTATTTATAGTTAAACTACACTTAGAAAAAAATATTTATTGTAAATACAAACTACTTAGTTTTGAGGTAAAAAAAAATAAGGAAAAATTATTGTGAATTAGAGTTTTCGAAAATAACCAAACTATTAAAAGCCTCAATATTTTCGAACATAAATTCGAATTTTCGAAAATAAGTTCGATTTTTAGAACAGATGTTAAAAAGTCTTATTACAAAGAAAAAGGTTTAAAATCACCTTAAATTACACTATGCGAGAAAAATAAATAAATACCTGGGAAGTGATACTATTTTTCTGAAAGATGGATCCAAGTAGAACAAGAATCTGTTTTTGAAATTAGCCAAACACCTCTAAATCTGGATATACGGCTAAAATCCGGTTTTTCGTACCTTTAAATATTTATAAGTCATAAGTTAACATAGTTATATCTGAACAGATTTAAGTTTCTCAACGGATTTAGAAAACAGAAGAAGAGACCTTTATATAAATATAGTTTGATTAACCTAGAGAAATACGTGTGCATTTCATCGGCAAACATATTTCTAATTTAGTTTTGGACCGTTTTCCAAGGTTCGAGATGTTTTTACAAAATATTTTATATAGGAACCGTACAATTTATTAATGCATTAGAAAACCACGTCCGTTCATGAGTACGTAACCTGTCTTTTTAAAATCAATTAGTAATTGACGACGTTATACAAATACAAAATTGTTCAAAAACTGATTTTCTGAAAGAAGAATCAGGCATTTAAATTTTCGTTTATTTGTATAACAGTGTTATTTAGTACGATAGCGCCCATAAGGCGAGGACCAAGGGTACGATATTTTCAAACGTTCCAAAACAATTTTCTCAGATATATCTGAAACTAAAAATGGTGCGAATCAGAGAAACATGTAACTAGTTTTGTTAATTAGGTTGTTAGTTAGTTAGTTAGTTAGATAGTTACTTAGTTAGTTAGTTAGTTAGTTAGTTAGTTAGGTAGGTAGTTAGTTAGTTAGTTAGTTAGTTAGTTAGTTGTTAGTTAGTTCGTGTTAGTTCGTTCGGTCGTCGTTAGTTAGTTCGTTCGTTCGTTAGTTAGTTTGTTCGTTCGTTCGTTCGTTCGTTAGTTCGGTCGTTCGTTAGTCGTTCGTTCGTTCGTTAGTTCGTTCGTTAGTTCGTTCGTTCTTTCGTTCGTTCGTTCGTTCGTTCGTTCGTCGTTCGTTCGTTTCGTTCGTTCGTTCGTTCGTTCGTTCTTCGTTCGTTCGTTTCGTTCGTTCGTTCGTTCGTTCGTTTTTCGTTCGTTCTTCGTTCGGTCGTTTGTTCGTTTCGTTCGTTCGGTCGTTTTTTCGTTGTCGTTCGTTCGTTCGTTCGTTCGTTCGTTCGTTCGCTTCGTTCGTTCGTTCGTTCGTTTCGTTTCGTTCGTTCGTTCGTTCGTTCGTTCGTTCGTTCTTCGTTTTCGTTCGTTCGTTCGTTCTTCGTTCGTTTCGTTCGTTCGTTCGTTCGTTCTTGTTCGTTCGTTCGTCGTTCGTTCGTTCGTTCGTTCGTTCGTTCGTTCGTTCGTTCGTTCGTTTCGTTCGTTCGTTCGTTCGTTCGTTCGTTCTTTCGTTCGTTCGTTGTTCGTTCGTTCGTTTCGTTCGTTCGTTCGTTCGTTCGTTTGTTCGTTCGTTCGTTCGTTCGTTTTCGTTCTTCGTTCGTTTCGTTCGTTCGTTCGTTCGTTCGTTTCGTTCTTTCGTTCGTTGTTCGTTCGTTCGTTCGTTCGTTCGTTCGTTGTTCGTTCGTTCGTTCGTTCGTTCGTTCGTTCGTTCTTCGTTCGCTCGTTCGTTCGCTCGTTCCTTCGTTCGTTCGTTCGTTCGTTCGTTCGCTCGTTGTTCGCTCTTCGTTAGTTCGTTTCGTTCGTTTTCGTTCGTTTCGTTCGTTGTTCGTTCGTTCGTTCGTTCGTTGTTCGTTCTGTTCGTTCGTTAGTCGTTCGTTGTTCGTTCGTTCGTTCGTTCGTTTCGTTCGTTCTTCGTTCGTTCGTTCGTTCGTTCGTTCGTTCGTTTCGTTCGTTAGTTCGTTCGTTCGTTCGTTCGTTCGTTCGTTCGTTCGTTTCGTTCGTTCGTTTCGTTCGTTCGTTCGTTCGTTCGTTAGTTCGTTCGTTCGTTTCGTTCGTTCGTTCGTTCGTTCGTTCGTTCGTTCGTTCGTTTTCGTTCGTTCGTTTCGTTCGTTGTTCTTCGTTCTTTCGTTCTTTCGTTCGTTCGTTCGTTAGTTGTTAGTTGTTAGTCGACTTTGTTATCAGCCTTTCACCCAATTTTCTCTCCGTGTATAAATACGTCACATAACAAGCATTCAATACCAACTATATAACTTGAGATCAAATGTAATTACATTTACAAACATATTTATAATAAAAACACTTAAGCAAAAAAACATTATTATATTTATTTCAGTTTTTGAAACACTAGAAATCAGATTAGTTTCAAGCGCGCATAATCAATCTATAATATTTTGCGAAACGTGTAAGTTGTCAAATTATTCTAAGACTTTAAAACGCGTAAAATCAAAGTAAATTATATTGAAAAACTGGTTTTATATTTCGACCATAATCTAACAAATTACATGGACAGCATTTGTTTTAAAAGCAGATTTGTAATTTATGCAATTTTTTTTGCCAAATATTCAAATTAAAATAAACAAAAAATGCGAAAAATTTATTTACGATGCACGATAGCACGTGCACTTAATGTAACAAAATAACAAAAGATTAAAAAAAAATTAAAATAATAAGTGAATTAATATAAACAACAGATTTTTACAGAACGTTTCAGGAACTTTTAAGAATAATGCTCAAAATATTAATAAAAACAAATAATTCTAACTTTATGTGAAATTCAAATATCTATTTTTTTTTTCTTTCTCTCAGTATTCAAATCTATGGATCATGGCTTCTACTAATCGCAATCCTATTTTCCAAATTTTAAAATTATTCTAATTTTTTCCACTCTTTGCCAAGGTCAAGCAAATCGTAAGTAAAAACGGTAAAAAATCATTATTATAAATTGCCTTATATTTATTCCCGCCCTAAACAGTCACCGAAAATGATCAAATGCCAGCTTTATACAAATTCGATAATTATAATGACTGTGTAAATCGTGCTAACACTGAACCATCATATCCTGCAAAATATTGTATGGTATTCGTACAACTACAGCCGAATAATGACTCCTCAGTATGGCATGAAATTGAACTATTAAGTTCAAATAAATTTAAATTTCGTCATGATCATCTCTTTCGGGGAGTTTGTCTGGAGAAATGTAAAGATTTTCTTGAAGATAATGTGATGAAGCTGACTCACAAATGGCTTATTAACTAATGAGGTAATATTTTAAGATGTAGGTGAAATTTAAACTAAATTTTTCACTTTCTTTCTTAGCACACAGAAATGTTGAATTAGCTCACCATACGCCACTGGATCATACTATGCGTTATCATTATCATAGTAATATCCATGAATGTGTTAATCAGGAATATATGGAGAAGCATAATTTAAGTACAAAGACATTTGTTATTTATTGTGTGGATCCAGATGAACGTAGGCCAAAGGTAGAGATTTGAGAAACGAAATTTGTCTTAAAAGTGGCTCGAGTTCTATCATCAATCAATCAATCAATCAATCAATCATCATCAATCTATCTATCTATCTATCTATCTATCTATCTATCTATCTATCTATCTATCTATCTATCTATCTATCTATCTATCTATCTATCTATCTATCTATCTATCTATCTATCTCTATCTATCTATCTATCTATCTATCTATCTATCTATCTATCTATCTATCTATCTATCTATCTATCTATCTATCTATCTATCTATCTATCTATCTATCTATCTATCTATCTCTCTATCTATCTATCTATCTATCTATCTATCTATCTATCTATCTATCTATCTATCTATCTATCTATCTATCTATCTATCTATCTATCTATCTATCTATCTATCTATCTATCTATCTATCTCTCTATCTATCTATCTATCTATCTATCTATCTATCTATCTATCTATCTATCTATCTATCTATCTATCTATCTATCTATCTATCTATCTATCTATCTATCTATCTATCTATCTATCTATCTATCTATCTATCTATCTATCTATCTATCTATCTATCTCTATCTATCTCTATCTATCTATCTATCTATCTATCTATCTATCTATCTATCTATCTATCTATCTATCTTCTATCTATCTATCTATCTATCTATCTATCTATCTATCTATCTATCTATCTATCTATCTACTATCTATCTATCTCTCTATCTATCTATCTATCTATCTATCTACTATAAACAGTTTTGACTATAATCTAGCTTTTGCTTGGAGAACTACAGCTTTTACAATAGTGTTGACTACAATTTCGACTTAATATATCAGATACATGTTTTTTACTTCTTTTCAAGATATATATTTTTATTTAACCATACTCTTGATCATTTTCTTTATACTACTCAACATAATCTCCTCCATATATGATGCAAAAATTAAGTCGCAACAATTAAAACAGATGAAAAAGTTAAATATTATGAAGTCAAACACAGTGATAAAGGTAGGTAGGTGGCATTTATTGCTTCTTAATATTAAAATAGATTTCAAATATTAAAATCCTGTACATTATTGAATAGTTAACAGATACCTCACCACATTTTCACTATATCGCAACTACAAACGTTTGGTGGTGCCTAACCAAAGTGACATTGGTATTGATCTGGCTTTTCTCGATGGTTTCGTACAATTTTGTGTTTTTTAATTGTACTCGAACATTCGCTACTCATACAATTTGCTCAACTTGAAAATCCCGAATTCATAGAACTTATTTGGGGTCGTTTGCAGACAAAATTGCTACTCCATGCTTGGTATGGTTGGAATTGTTTTTCGTTTTAAGTGGTCTTCTGCTGTATGTTAAATTCGAAAAAGGTCAATATATCACGCCTAAATCATCGTTACCAATTGCGTTCAAGTTTTTGTGCGTTTGCTAGTTTCACGTTATTTAAGGTAAATTTGACTATATACATATTTCGTATTTAGTTTAATTTATTAATAATTTTATGTTTAGATATCTTCCTTCGTTAATATTTATAATAGCTTTTACTGGTAGTATTAATTATTATAATGAAGATGGTCCATTTACAAGATATGTCGTGGAACCGAATTGTTTAGCATGCCGGGAAAATTGGTGGCAAAATCTATTAATGATTAATAATTACAATATGAAAAGTTCGGTAAGTTTTCGGCGATTACTCTTAATTTGTATCCGAGTCCCTATAGTTTTGATTATAACTTCGACTATGTCTGGTCGTCAATATTTTCAACTAAAATGACGACTAACTGTCGTCTATGGTTTAAACTTAGGTACATGTTAGTTTCGACTACACTAGTCTATGGTGTAGTCTACAATGTAGTCTATAGTCTAGTCTAAAGTGTAGTCTGTAGTGTAGTCTATGGTGTAGTCTATAGTGTAGTCTATAGTGTAGTCTATAGTCTAGTCTATAGTCTAGTCTAAAGTGTAGTCTATAGTGTAGTCTATAGTGTAGTCTATACTGTAGTCTATACTGTAGTCTATAGTCGGTAGTCTATCTAGTCTAGTCTATGTCTAGTCTATAGTCTAGTCTATAGTCCTAGTCTATAGTCTAGTCTATAGTCTAGTCTATAGTCTAGTCTATAGTCTAGTCTATAGTCTAGTCTATAGGTCTATCTATAGTCATAGTCTATATGCTAGTTCTATAGTCTAGCTATAGTCCTAGTCTATTAGTCTAGTCTATTAGTCTAGTCTAATAAGTATAGTCTATAGTCTAGGTCTATAGTCTAGTCTATAGTCGAGTCTATAGTCTACTCTATAGTCTAGTCTATAGTCTAGTTCTATAGTCTAGTGCTATAGTCTAGTCTATAGTCTAGTCTAGAGTCTAGTCTATAGTCTAATCTATAGTCTAGTCTATAGTCTAGGCTATAAGTCTAGTCTATAGTCTAGTCTATAGTCTAGTCTATAGTCCTTGTCTATAGTCTATCTATAGTCGAGTCTATAGTCTAGTCTATAGTCTAGTCTATAGCTAAGTCTATAGTCCTAGTCTATGTCTAGTCTTATAGTCTAGTCTTAAGTCCCTAGTCTATAGTCTAGTCTAGAGTCTAGTCCTAATATTAGTCTATTCTAGTCTATAGTCTAGTCTATAGTCCTAGTCTATAGTCTATTCTATATGTCTAGTCTATAGTCTAGTTCTATAGGCTAGTCTATAGTCTAGTCTATAGTCTATAGTCTAGTCTAGTCTAGTCTATAGTCTAGTCTATAGTCTAGTCTATAGTCTAGTCTATAGTCTAGTCTATATTTAGTCTAAGTCTAGTCTATAGTCTAGTCTATAGTCTATCTATAGTCTAGTCTATAGTCTAGTCTATAGTCTAGTCTATAGTCTAGTCTATAGTCTAGTCTATAGTCTAGTCTATAGTCTAGTCTATAGTCTAGTCTATAGTCTAGTCTATAGTCTAGTCTATAGTCTAGTCTATAGTCTAGTCTATAGTCTAGTCTATAGTCTAGTCTATAGTCTAGTCTATGTCTAGTCTATAGTCTAGTCTATAGTCTAGTCTATAGTCTAGTCTATAGTCTAGTCTATAGTCTAGTCTATAGTCTAGTCTATAGTCTAGTCTATAGTCTAGTTTATAATCTAGTCTATAGTCTAGTCTATAGTCTAGTCTATAGTCTAGTCTATAGTCTAGTCTATAGTCTAGTCTATAGTCTAGTCTATAGTCTAGTCTATAGTCTAGTCTATAGTCTAGTCTATAGTCTAGTCTATAGTCTAGTCTATAGTCTAGTCTATAGTCTAGTCTATAGTCTAGTCTATAGTCTAGTCTATAGTCTAGTCTATAGTCTAGTCTATAGTCTAGTTTATAATCTAGTCTATAGTCTAGTCTATAGTCTAGTCTATAGTCTAGTCTATAGTCTAGTCTATAGTCTAGTCTATAGTCTAGTCTATAGTCTAGTCTATAGTCTAGTCTATAGTCTAGTCTAAGTTTAGTCTATAGTCTAGCCTATAGTCTAGTCTATAGTCTAGTCTATAGTCTAGTCTATAGTCTAGTCTATAGTCTAGTTTATAATCTAGTCTATAGTCTAGTCTATAGTCTAGTCTATAGTCTAGTCTATAGTCTAGTCTATAGTCTAGTCTATAGTCTAGTCTATAGTCTAGTCTATAGTCTAGTCTATATCTAGTCTATAGTCTAGTCTGGTCGTCAATATTTTCAACTAAAATGACGACTAACTGTCGTCTATGGTTTAAACTTAGTACATGTTAGTTTCGACACACTAGTCTATGGTGTAGTCTACAATGTAGTCTATAGTCTAGTCTAGTCTAAAGTGTAGTCTGTAGTGTAGTCTATGGTGTAGTCTATAGTGTAGTCTATAGTGTAGTCTATAGTCTAGTCTATAGTCTAGTCTAAAGTGTAGTCTATAGTGTAGTCTATAGTGTAGTCTATACTGGTCTATACTGTAAGTCTATAGTCTAGTCTATAGTCCCTAGTCTATAGTCTAGTCTATAAGTCTAGTCCTAGTCTAGTCTATAGTCTAGTCTATAGTCTAGTCCTAGAGTCTAGTCTATAGTCCTAGTCTATAGTCTAGTCCTATAGTCTAGTCTATAGTCTAGTCTATAGTCTAGTCTTAGTCTAGTCTATAGTCTAGTCTATAGTCTAGTCTATAGTCTAGTCTATAGTCTAGTCTATAGTCTAGTCTATAGTCTAGTCTATAGTCGAGTCTATAGTCTAGTCTATAGTCTAGTCTATAGTCTAGTCTATAGTCTAGTCTATATCGAGTCTATAGTCTAGTCTATAGTCTAGTCTATAGTCGAGTCTATAGCTAGTCTATAGTCTATATAGTCTAGTCTATAGTCTAGTCTATAGTCTAGTCTATAGTCTAGTCTATTAGTCTAGTCTATAGTCTAGTCTATAGTCTAGTCTATAGTCTAGTCTATAGTCTAGTCTATAGTCTAGTCTATAGTCTAGTCTATAGTCTAGTCTATAGTCTAGTCTATAGTCTAGTCTATAGTCTAGTCTATAGTCTAGTCTATAGTCTGTCTATAGTCTAGTCTATAGTCTGTCTATAGTCTAGTCTATAGTCTAGTCTATAGTCTAGTCTATAGTCTAGTCTACTAGTCTAGTCTATAGTCTAGTCTATAGTCTAGTCTATAGTCTAGTCTATAGTCTAGTCTTAAGTCTAGTCTATAGTCTAGTCTATAGTCTAGTTATAGTCTAGTCTATAGTCTAGTCTATGTCTAGTCTATAGTCTAGTCTATAGTCTAGTCTATAGTTCTAGTCTATAGTCTAGTCTATAGTCTAGTCTATAGTCTAGTCTTAGTCTAGTCTATAGTCTAGTCTATAGTCTAGTCTATCTAGTCTAGTCTATCAGTCTAGTCTTATAAGTCTAGTCTATAGTCTAGTCTATAGTCTAGTCTATAGTCTAGTCTATAGTCTAGTCTAGTCTATAGTCTAGTCTATAGTCTAGTCTATAGTCTAGTCTATAGTCTAGTCTATAGTCTAGTCTATAGTCTAGTTTATAATCTAGTCTATAGTCTAGTCTTAGTCTAGTCTATAGTCTAGTCTATAGTCTAGTCTATAGTCTAGTCTATAGTCTAGTCTATAGTCTAGTCTATAGTCTAGTCTATAGTCTAGTCTATAGTCTAGTCTATAGTCTAGTCTATAGTCTAGTCTATAGTCTAGTCTATAGTCTAGTCTATAGTCTAGTCTATAGTCTATTTTAATCTAGTCTATAGTCTAGTAGTCTATAGTCTAGTCTATAGTCTAGTCTATAGTCTAGTCTATAGTCTAGTCTATAGTCTAGTCTATAGTCTAGTCTATAGTCTAGTCTATAGTCTAGTCTATAGTTTAGTCTATAGTCTAGCCTATAGTCTAGTCTATAGTCTAGTCTATAGTCTAGTCTATAGTCTAGTCTATAGTCTAGTTTATAATCTAGTCTATAGTCTAGTCTATAGTCTAGTCTATAGTCTAGTCTATAGTCTAGTCTATAGTCTAGTCTATAGTAGTCTATCTAGTTAGTCTAGTCTAGTATAGTCTAGTCTATAGTCTAGTCTATAGTCTAGTCTATAGTCTAGTCTATAGTTTAGTCTATAGTCTAGCCTATAGTCTAGTCTATAGTCTAGTCTAGTCTATAGTCTAGTCTATAGTCTAGTTTATAATCTAGTCTATAGTCTAGTCTATAGTATAGTCTATACTTTATTCTACGCTTCAGTAGTTTTGTTTTTGTTTTTTTTGTCTTTATTTATATGGATCTGATTACTGTTATTTTTAAATTCTTAAAAACATGTTTAATATAAATCTAGGTTAGCAATTCATTTTTTAAAACTTGTGTTCATTGAACTAATTAATATATTAAGTAAATGTGCAGTTTAAAAATATACACATATGTACATATTTAGATTTTTTTTTTAGTTAGTAATCTGGTTTTTAATATATATTACGTATTTACAATTTCCATAGTGTCTTATGCATACCTGGTATATAGCAGCTGATTTTCAACTCTACGGTCTTTTTCTTCTCATACTAATTATAATGGCAAAGTAAGTTTAAACTGTAATTTGTTGGAAATTAAATTCTAATTAAATTTTTTTGTTCATAAAGATATCCCAAGTCCAAAGTATTAGTATTGACCGGAGTGGCGTTAATAGCTGCAGCTATTAATTTTGGTGTTAATTATATACTTAAATTGGATTCGATATTTCTGCTGCTGCCAGAGTAAATTTAATTTATATAAGACCCAGTATAACTTAATAATTGTATTATATTTATCTATTCAATTTCAGATCCTATCGTTATTTCTATTTTAAAGATATAGAAACTGCCAAACATATATATTTTTCATCCTATACTAATATCAATTCCTTCCTAGTGGGCATCGTTTGTGGTCTTATCTATATGAAATATCTACGTAAAAATCCTGAAAATAAATCATATTTAAGTAAAATTTTGAAAACTTCACCCTACATTGGTTGGCCTTGCATATTGGCTATATTGTATTTGGGTACCACAATAATGACGCATACCAAGACCACAGTATGGACGGCAGCATATGGTTTGTTGCAACGTCATGTGGGCATAACAATTGTGGCGATAATAGTCATTTTGAGAGGCATGTGTAATGGTGGAGGTGAGTTTTTTTTTAATAGTTTTACTTTAGTCCATATTATTATCTATTCTAATAATTTTAGGCATTTTCAAAACAAAACCTTTTCGCATATGGCCCGTTTATCATATCAGGTTTATTTGTGGCAAATAATTGTTATGATGAATCTGTTGGCCAGTTGGAAGGAACCGTTTTATGTTAATGATTTTATAATTGTAAGTCTTGGATATTTTTCTATAATTTAATTTACTAATGATCATTTTTTACATTAAAGTACCTAGTTGGAATGTTTTTATATGTTTCTTCCAATATTATTGCCTTTGTGGTGGCCTTATCTGTCGAATATCCAATTGCTGAAATTATTAGTATAATTGATATTGAAAGTAAGTTGTTTAAATTCCAATTGAATCCAATTATTATTTATTTCATTTCTTTTTTTTTTTTCAGAAAAATTAAACCTATTAAAACTTCCTAGAGTCAGAGAGCTATTCCTAGCCAATCATTCAAGTATTAAGCCAAAAAGTCTATAATATAGTACAACTTAAGAGTAAATTGATTTATTGTAACTCTGTAAATAAAATTTCGAAAAAATAAGTTTAATTTAAAACAAGTATGAACGATAGTCGGTCATGACCGTCTATATAATACCCTACACCAGTGAGTATGTTAAAAATGTAGGTTATTTTTTAAATAATAAGCATTTAATTTGTTTTTTACCTTAATTCCGGAATATTTTTACTTTTTGTTGTCAAAAAATAAATTTTTTTTATAAGTGGTCTTATATGGTGGTAAAAGTAAATATATGCCTATCCTTATAAATTTTGATAGAGAGCTTTACGTTAACATTTTAATTATTTTGAAGAATTTAATTGAGTTATTAGTGTTTATAAATGAATTTTGACCTGCAAGCCATTTGATGAAGGGGAGTTTGTATGGGGGCCCAATCCTTACGGAAATCTCTAGTGGTCATTTAGACTTTATAAAAATAAGTTTTGTAGATTTTTTTTGACATTCTGGAACATTTCACATAATTATGAGCTCAAAAGCCCTATGCAGGGGGTCCCGTTGTATGGGGGCTGGGCGAAATAATAGACCTTTTTTGACCATTTTCAATTGGATTGGTTCATCTTTGGCCAAAGAAGAGTATGTGCCAATTTCGTCACACGAAGTTTAACATGTACACACCAGCCAGCTTAGACAGACATAGTAGTTCGTTGAGTTAGTTTAGTTAGTTAGTTAGTAGTTAGTTAGTAGTAGTTAGTTAGTTAGTTAGTTAGTTAGTTAGTTAGTTAGTTAGTTAGTTAGTTAGTTAGTTAGTTAGTTAGTAGTTAGTTAGTTAGTTAGTTAGTTAGTTAGTTAGTTAGTTCGTTAGTTAGTTAGTTAGTAGTTAGTTAGTTAGTTAGTTAGTTAGTTAGTTAGTTAGTTAGTTAGTTAGTAGTTAGTAGTTAGTTAGTTAGTTAGTTAGTTAGTTAGTTAGTTAGTAGTTAGTTAGTTAGTTAGTTAGTTAGTTAGTTAGTTAGTAGTTTAGTTAGTTAGTTAGTTAGTTAGTTAGTTAGTTAGTAGTTAGTTAGTTAGTTAGTTAGTTAGTTATTAGTTAGTTAGTTAGTAGTTAGTTAGTTAGTTAGTAGTTAGTTAATTAGTTAGTTAGTTAGTAGTTAGTAGTTAGTTAGTTAGTTAGTTAGTTAGTTAGGTAGTTAGTTAGTTAGTTAGTTAGTTAGTTAGTTAGTTAGTTAGTAGTTAGTTAGTTAGTTTAGTTAGTAGTTAGTTAGTTAGTTAGTAGTTAGTAGTTAGTTTAGTTAGTTAGTTAGTAGTTAGTTAGTTAGTTAGTTAGTTAGTTAGTAGTTAGTTAGTTAGTTAGTTAGTTAGTAGTTAGTTAGTTAGTAGTTAGTAGTGTTAGTTAGTTAGTTAGTTAGTTAGTTAGTTAGTAGTAGTTAGTTAGTTAGTTAGTTAGTTAGTTAGTTAGTTAGTTAGTTAGTTAGTTAGTTAGTTAGTTAGTAGTTAGTTAGTTAGTTAGTTAGTTAGTTAGGAGTTAGTTAGTTAGTTAGTTAGTTAGTAGTTAGTTAGTTAGTTAGTTAGTTAGTTAGTTAGTAGTTAGTTAGTTAGTTAGTAGTAGTTAGTTAGTAGTTAGTTAGTTAGTTAGTTAGTTAGTTAGTTAGTTAGTTAGTTAGTTAGTTAGTTAGTTAGTAGTTAGTTAGTTAGTTAGTTAGTAGTTAGTTAGTTAGTTAGTTAGTTAGTTAGTAGTTAGTTAGTTAGTTAGTTAGTTAGTTAGTTAGTTAGTAGTTAGTAGTAGTTAGTTAGTTAGTTAGTTAGTTAGTTAGTTAGTTAGTTAGTAGTTAGTTAGTTAGTTAGTTAGTTAGTTAGTTAGTTAGTTAGTTAGTTAGTTAGTAGTTAGTTAGTTAGTTAGTAGTAGTTAGTTAGTTAGTTAGTTAGTTAGTAGTTAGTTAGTTAGTTAGTAGTTAGTTAGTTAGTTAGTAGTTAGTTAGTTAGTTAGTTAGTTAGTTAGTTAGTTAGTTAGTTAGTTAGTTAGTTAGTTAGTTAGTTAGTTAGTTAGTAGTTAGTTAGTTAGTAGTTAGTAGTAGTTAGTTAGTTAGTTAGTTAGTTAGTTAGTTAGTAGTTAGTTAGTTAGTAGTTAGTTAGTTAGTTAGTTAGTTAGTTAGTTAGTTAGTTAGTTAGTAGTAGTTAGTTAGTTAGTAGTTAGTTAGTTAGTAGTTAGTTAGTTAGTTAGTTAGTTAGTTAGTTAGTTAGTATTAGTTAGTAGTTAGTTAGTAGTTAGTTAGTTAGTTAGTAGTAGGTAGTTAGTTAGTTAGTTAGTTAGTTAGTTAGTTAGTTAGTTAGTTAGTAGTTAGTTAGTTAAGTTAGTTAGTTAGTAGTTAGTAGTTAGTTAGTAGTAGTAGTTAGTTAGTTAGTTAGTTAGTAGTTAGTTAGTTAGTAGTTAGTTAGTTAGTTAGTTAGTTAGTTAGTTAGTTAGTTAGTTAGTTAGTAGTTAGTTAGTTAGTTAGTTAGTTAGTAGTTAGTTAGTTAGTAGTAGTTAGTAGTAGTTAGTTAGTTAGTTAGGTAGTTAGTAGTTAGTTAGTTAGTTAGTTAGTTAGTTAGTTAGTTAGTAGTTAGTTAGTTAGTTAGTTAGTTAGTTAGTAGTTAGTAGTTAGTTAGTTAGTTAGTTAGTTAGTTAGTAGTTAGTTAGTTAGTTAGTTAGTTAGTTAGTTAGTTAGTTAGTTAGTTAGTTAGTAGTTAGTTAGTTAGTTAGTAGTTAGTTAGTAGTTAGTTAGTTAGTTAGTTGTAGCCATTGATGAAATATCATGATCCTGTGTTCAGCCGTTTTTGCGATGATGAATCATTCAATCAGTTACGCGACTCTTTTATATACATATATGCAGATTCCGTCAATGTGAACAGATTCAGTCAATGTCAAGAGGAAACATTAAAAATTTTATTACTATTTTTT